AGAAGGACCCAAATGAAGTTTTAAGCATAGAATCAAGGGGAAAACGGGTTATACCTCAAAGGAAATGTTGAAATAACACAAAGATGGCTGATCTCCTTCTCCTCTTCTTGATCTACTCCTCTTACTCCTCAAACCTTCAAGAACACACCAAGAACACCTCAAACTCTCAAGGAAACAAGGGAAAACGATGTAGGGGGAGTTCTGGGGGTGAATGGGGACGAGTTGGGGCGGAATGAGAGTTTAAATAGGGTGCAAACCCTTGAAACTTAGGGTTTCATCCAGCAGCGGTGACTCGCCGAGTCCAGGATGTGGACTCGCCGAGTCGCCTACTTAAAACGTGTCCTGAGTCTCGTCCTACTCGGCGAGTCGGACCCTATGACTCGCCGAGTCCAAGGTTAAATTAGGGCAATGCTCAAATAAAATTCACATACCGGAAACCAGGTGCTACAAATCTCCCCCACTTATTTTAGACTTCGTCCTCGAAGTCTGCTGCCTGGTCCTGAAACAGCTCGGGGTAGTGCTCCATCATCTCGTCCATCGGTTCCCAAGTCCACTCTGAACCCTTGCGGTGCTGCCATTGCACCTTCACTAGCTCCACCCTCTTGTTCCTTAAATCCTTCGACTTCCTGTCGAGGATTGCGACTGGGCGCTCAATGTAGTTCAGGCTGTCATCAACCTGAATATCCTCCAAAGGTACTACTGCAGAATCGTCCACTAGGCACTTCCGCAACTGCGAAACATGGAAAGTGCTGTGGATCTGGCTAAGCTCGGCTGGCAGATCCAGCCTATATGCTACCTTGCCCACCCGGGCTAAGACCCTGAACGGTCCGATGAATCGCGGGCCCAACTTGCCCCGCTTCCTGAATCGGATGACGCCTTTCCACGGCGACACCTTCAGGAGGACCATATCCCCGACCTGGAACTCTAAATCGGATCGACGCTTGTCGGCATAACTTTTCTGCCGACTCTGAGCAGCCTGAAGCCTGCTCCGGACCTGCTGGATCCTCTCAGTCGTCTTGAGCACCACTTCGGTGCTTCCCATGACTCTCTGGCCAACCTCACCCCAGCATATCGGGGTCCTACATCTCCGTCCATACAACATCTCGAAGGGAGGGCGGTCGATACTCGCGTGATAGCTGTTGTTGTAGGAGAACTCAGCCAAAGGAAGATAGGTATCCCAGCTACCACCGAAATCCAGAACACACGCCCGCAACATGTCCTCCAAAGTCTGGATGGTCCGCTCACTCTGACCATCTGTCTGCGGGTGAAAGGCGGTGCTGAAATGTAGACGAGTGCCTAACTCGTCATGGAATCTCTTCCAAAACCTGGAAGTAAAACGCACATCCCTGTCCGAGATCACCGATACCGGCACCCCATGCCGTGCCACAATCTCCCTGATATAGATGTCGGCCAATTTCTCGGCCGATATGCTCTCCTGAATCGGAATAAAGTGAGCACTCTTGGTCAATCTATCCACGATGACCCAAATCGAATCCACTCCACGTGCGGTCCTGGGAAGCTTCGTGATAAAATCCATCGTGATATCTTCCCATTTCCACAGTGGAATATCCAACGGCTGCATCTTGCCATGCGGTCTATGATGTTCGGCCTTGACCTTCCTGCAGGTCAAGCACCGCTCGACGTACCATGCCACATCCCGTTTCATGCAAGGCCACCAATAGTCCTAGACGAAGATCCCTATACATCTTCGTCGCCCCGGGATGAATAGAAATCGGGACTTGTGCGCCTCCTCCATCAAAATCTGACGCACACCACCGTGATACGGCACCCACACCCTACGGTGTAATGTCAAAACCTCTCCATCATAATCGAAGGAGGAAACCTGACCTACTACACGCTCGCTCTTCCGATGCTCCTCCTTGATAGCCTCCTGTTGAGCCTCCCGAATCTGCTCCAACAGGGGAGTCACCACAGTCATCCTCAAACAGGCGTCCCTGATCGGCGCCGTCTTGCGGCTAAGCGCATCGGCCACCACATTGGCCTTCCCCGGGTGGTAAAGGATCTCGCAATCATAATCCTTCACCACATCCAACCACCGACGCTGCCTCATGTTCAGATTCGGCTGATCCATGAGGTACCTCAAGCTCTTGTGGTCCGTGTAGATGGTACACCGAACCCCATAGAGGTAATGTCGCCAAATCTTGAGGGCAAATACCACCGCCCCCAACTCCAAATCGTGCGTCGGGTAGTTCGCCTCGTGAGGCTTGAGCTGCCTTGAAGCGTAAGCAATGACATGCCCCCTTTGCATCAGCACCGCGCCCAACCCAGAAATGGACGCATCACAATAAACCACGAAATCCTCTACGCCCTCTGGCAGGGCTAAGATCGGCGCCTCACACAATCGCTGTCTCAGCGTCTCAAATGCAGCCTGCTGCTCGGGTCCCCACCGAAAGACCACGGCTTTCTTCGTCAGCCGCGTCAGGGGCACGGCTATCTTGGAGAAATCCTGGATAAATCTCCGATAGTAGCCTGCCAATCCCAGGAAGCTCCGAATCTCAGATGGAGACTTCGGAACCTCCCATCTCATCACGGCCTCGACCTTGGCCGGATCGACCAGAATCCCGTTCTGGTTGACGAGGTGTCCCAGAAATTGCACCTCGCGCAACCAAAACTCACACTTGGAGAACTTGGCATACAAGCTCTCCCTCCTCAGGGTCTCTAACACCTCTCTCAAATGCTCCTCATGTTCCTCCCGGGTCTTGGAATAAACCAAGATATCATCGATAAAGACTATCACAGACCGGTCCAGCATCGGTCTGCATACACGGTTCATGAGGTCCATGAACGCGGCAGGAGCATTGGTGAGCCCAAACGGCATCACCACGAACTCGTAATGGCCATAGCGCGTCCGAAACGCGGTCTTCTGCATATCTTCCTCCCTGACCCTCATCTGATGATAACCCGAACGCAAATCAATCTTGGAGAACCAAGATGCGCCCTGAAGCTGGTCAAAGAGGTCATCAATCCTCGGAAGCGGGTAACGGTTCTTCACCGTTACCTTGTTCAGCTCCCGATAATCTATACACATCCGATGCGACCCATCCTTCTTCTTCACAAACAGAATCGGGGCTCCCCAGGGCGAACTGCTCGGCCGAATAAATCCCTTGTCCAGCAGCTCCTGCAGCTGCGTAGACAACTCCTGCATCTCGGGAGGAGCCAACCGATATACGGTGCTTTGGCTATCGGAGCCGCACCGGGAATGAGGTCAATCCTGAACTCCACCTGTCGCTCCGGAGGTATCCCAGGTAGTTCCTCCGGGAAAACATCAGCAAAATCTCGAACCACCGGGACCTCGCTCACGTCGCCTTACCCGCCTCCCGGGTGTCCATCACGTACGCGACATAACCCGCGCATCCCTGCTGAAGGTAGCGCCTAGCCCTCGCTGCTGAACATACAGTGGGTCCACACTGCGGCCGCTCTCCATGAATCACTAACTCTCCCCCGCTTGGGGTCCTGACTCGCACTAGCTGCTGTGCGCAATCTATCACTGCCCCATTAGGGCTCAACCAATCCATACCAATAATCACCTTGTTCCCACGCAATGGAATGGGAACCAAGTCTACCAGGTAACACTCCTCAAACAGTCGCAGAACACAATCTCGAAACACCATCGATGCTCGCACCGATCGATCGTCAGCAATCTCTACCTCTAACGGGCAATCTAACTCGCCTGAAGTCTCATGAAATCTCTTGCTAAGAGCAAGAGAAACGAACGATCGGGATGCACCCGAGTCGAACAATACCTGAACCGGGATGCCGTTCACATGGAACGATCCTAATACACATGTATACACACGGAGCACATATCAATATCATAACAACGTAAAATAAAAGATAGAAGGAAGGAATCATACCCGTCACCACATCGGGCGCGGTGCGTGCCTCCTCAGCAGTCAACTGAAATGCCCGACTCCTCACCACTGGAGCCTCTGCCTTGCCCTGACGGCCATCCGTGATCCGCAGGGTCGCTGGAGCTGGCGCCTTCACTGGCGCTGAAACTGTCAACATGGGGCAATTGGCCTTCTTGTGGCCCCTCTGGTTGCAGTGGAAACACAGCAACTCCGATGTCTGAATAACTGTCGCAGGAGCAGTGCAATCCCTGCTGATATGCCCAAACTTGCCGCACTTGTATCAGCCTGACGATCCCATCCTGCACGCCCCCTCGTGCGGCCTACCGCACCTCCTGCAGCGGCTCGGACCCGACTGGCCTTTTGGCCTCCCATCTGATCCCTTGGGCTTCTTCCCCGAAGCCCCTGATGCCTGACCATCCTCAAGTTTCCGTTTCCGGATGTGCTCCAAATCTATCTCTCTCTCTCTCTAGCCCTGGCAATCATGGAGTCCAGGGTAGGGCAAGCCGAAAAGCTGACATGCTCCCGAATGTCAGCTCGTAGCATATCATGGTAACGAGTCCTCCTCATATCCTCGTCGCCTGCATACTGGGGCACCAATAAAGCCCTCTCCCGAAACTTGGCGGTGATCTCCGCCACGGTCTCTGTCGTCTGCCTCATGTCTAGAAACTCCCTGGCCAGCTGCTGAAGCTCGACCGCTGGCGCAAACTCTGCCCTGAACCTAGCCACAAAGTCCGACCAGGTCATTGCCTCGATAGCCGAGGCTCCCAACGAGTCACCCACTGACTCCCACCAATCTCGGGCCCGGTCCCGCAAACACCCTGCTGCGTACCTCACCTTCGACCCCTCGGGCAGAAGCTGGTCAACTGGGCGGACTCAATATCCGCAATCCACCGCCTGGCGACAATGGGGTCCTTCACCCCATGGAAATCCGGCGCACCACTGCCCCTGAAGTCCTTGAAGGACAGTGTGCGAGATCCTGACTGGCTAGAGGCCAAGTCGCTCCTGAATGCCCGTAGGCGATCCTCCATCAACTCCACGATCCCTTCCTTGATCGACCCAAAGATGATGGGGGTCGACTCAAGGATGCCCCTAATGATCTCCGACGTGATGAACTCACGTAGCCTCTCCTCAATCGGCTCGGTGCCAGATCCCGAACCTGACCCCTCTCCTGACCCGCCATCTGTCGGTCTCGGTCGAAGTACCACCATTCTGCAAAACATCATAATAATCATTAGTGGTACTGCTACTTTCTGAGGGATCTCAACTACTTACAGGTTCCTTGGTCTCGTCTTGGCCTTCCTCGGCTCGGGTACGGATCCTCTGCTTTCAGTAGTACGGGCCCATACTACCTTCCACATCTATCCGTACCTTCTCCGAGGAATTCCTCGACTCCACCAACTCCCCTTTACTACTGCTCCTCTCTGTTATTCTCATCCTAGGCTTGCCCTAGGGAAAACTCAAGTTCAACACAACTGGTCCTCAGCTGCTGTAGGTCTCCTCATAATTCCAGTTAGCCACCACCTAAACACCATCACATGTGATGAGGATTAGATAATCCTTCAAGTAAAAGATCCGTCCCTACAACGGTTGGACTCAAACAAGAGCTGCGCAATAGGGCCAGTTCCAACACTTTGGGATTATTCAACCCTGATTACATGTGGTGTGACGTGTTTACCTAGTGGCTCACTCCCATTACTCAGAATCCCACCAAGCACGAAGCAAGCAGCATTCGGATAAGGAAAAACAGACTCAAGCCAAAACTGTTCTTAGAACAAGAAACGACACTTAACATAGGGTGCTAAGCTTATACTATCAGGCATAACCTAAACAGGCTATCCTACTGCTGTCTACTCAATTCTAGCATGCAATATTCAATAAGCTGTAGCAAATAAACAGGCACATAAGGCATCACCCCTAGATCCTTAGCCTATTCTAGCATGCAGTATTCACAAAGCTGATAAACATAACATAAACTTGTATGGGTACTATGGGGAATACTTACTTGAGCTCGGCCGGTCGCGCACGCCACACACTTTGCTCTTTCTTATGACTCTTTTCCGGGTTTTAAAGAACAATTTCTTTTGGAAAATCTTTCAATCCCTCGATTTGAGTCCAAACACTCCCGAAGGTGTGTCCGAATCCCTCAAACCAGGGCTCTGATACCAACTTGTAACGACCCAATTTTTACGTCCGAAAATTTCATTTTTAAGGTATTACTTTAGAAAACATTAATAAATAAAAACATTGTTTGTTCACACCATAACACATTGCAACCATGTTCTAAAAAGCCAACCGTACATCCCATCAAAATATCAGAGTACAATCCCAGTAAAACTCATGAATGCGGAAATCGAAGAGTGTGTGTATAACGTGTCGCTACCGCGCCGGCTCCTTCCCCTTCGATGCAGAGGTACCTGAAAACAAAACTGTAAACGTAAGCACAAAGCTTAGTGAGTTCCCCCAACGTACCGCATACCATACAAACACATAACATACGTACTGCCAGGCTATTCTGGGGTGCCTGACTACCCGGTACGGCCATTCTGGGGTGCCGACCTACCCATACGGCCATTCTGGGGTGCCGTCTTACCCGTGTCAAGCCATTCTGGGTGCTGACTACCCATGTCAAGCCATTCTGGGGTGCTGACTACCCATCGGTCCTAACAACCGATCCTCGGGGACTATTTCACCCCCTACTACTACGATCACATATAACATAACAAGCCAGCATGCATACATATCATCACGTACTGTCAGACGTATCTGGGGTGTCTGACTACCCTTCGGTCCTAACAACCAAACTCTACATACAACATATCATGCTAGCATATAACATGTCAGGTAATAGCAAACTTAGATGATATCACAAAGACAATCATCTATCATACATCTCCTACTGGTGGGTCGGCATTGTGGCCTTAGACCCACTGCTACTGGAAGGTAACTCACCTCAAAGTAGCTGCTGAACTGATCGGGAACTAACTGACTGCTGCTGCTCCGGGAGTCCTCCGGCTGCAATTCCCACAACATACTCAATCAAACACTGCTAACTGTCCTTTAGGTAAAATGACCATTTTACCCCTGGTTTAGCCCTAAGCCAATGCTAGGGTCAACTTTCAGTTGACCCGACTCGCCGAGTGGATCACCACTCGCCGAGTCCCTAGCAAACCAATGTCCTGGGTCCCTGGTTCTACTCGTCGAGTCGGGCTATGACTCGACGAGTTCACCTTCTAACTGTCATACAACTCCTTCATCCTACTCGCCGAGTTGTATGAACAACTCGTCGAGTTCATCTTCATCCGATGAACACTTTATGCTAAGACTCGCCGAGTTGTATGAACAACTCGCCGAGTCTGTTCTTGATCTATGAAGATTGCCTTGGACTCGCCGAGTCAGGGCATTGACTCGCCGAGTCCTAACATGGGTGAGTTCAGCTCCCAACTCACCGAGTCACCCCCTGTGACTCATGGCTCAACTCGACACATGAAGAAGGGACCAAATCGGTGACTCGCGACCAGACTCGCCGAGTCACCTATGCGACTCGCCGAGTCGTCGCCATGCACTCCTTAAATATACCGATTTGCTCGATTCCAGTCCATGCCATTCATAGATCTGGACTTCTAGGACACGAATCACACGTAAAGTTTCCAACTTTACGTGTTGATATTCACCAATATGGATTATAGGGCTCAAAATGTCTCAAAAGGGTAGATCTAGGGCTAACAAGCCTCATGGGGCCAAAAAGGCTAACAGATCTGAGCTCCTGGAGCTCAATCTTGCATAGATCCAAAGGCCAAACGCCTTATTACGACATATAATGCACATACAACTTGGGGAATTGACCAAGAAGGACCCAAATGAAGTTTTAAGCATAGAATCAACGGGAAAACGGGTTATACCTCAAAGGAAATGTTGAAATAACACAAAGATGGCTGATCTCCTTCTCCTCTTCTTGATCTACTCCTCTTACTCCTCAAAACCTTCAAGAACACACCAAGAACACCTCAAACTCTCAAGGAAACAACGAAAAACGATGTAGGGGGAGTTCTGGGGGTGAATGGGGACGAGTTGGGGCGGAATGAGAGTTTAAATAGGGTGCAAACCCTTGAAACTTAGGGTTTCATCCAGCAGCGGTGACTCGCCGAGTCCAGGATGTGGACTCGCCGAGTCGCCTACTTAAAACGTGTCCTGAGTCTCGTCCCTACTCGGCGAGTCGGACCCTATAACTCGCCGAGTCCAAGGTTAAATTAGGGCAATGCTCAAATAAAATTCACATACCGGAAACCAGGCGCTACAACTCAGCTAAACACGCGCACCACAACATGCATGTATGGTCTTCTATGCAAACTTTTCTCTGTAAGGGCCATTCTTGCCAAATCTTCAAAGTATCATAACTCCTTCATTCTAGATCCGATTCTGATGAACTTTATATCCACGGAAAGGTGACGAGAAACCCTACGTTTCTAATCAACACAACCCGGCCTGAAAACTTCTCAAATAATAACTCCAAATTTAATAAAGGACTAAAACGCCCCTGGCCTTGGCCTCTGAAATTCCATAAATGAATATTTTAGAACAGGGCGTTACACGTATCCCTTCTCAAAACAGGTTGGTTGAGGCTGCTGAAATGACATCACCATATCACCTACTATTTACTATATAATTCTTTGTCTTTTAAAGCTTCCTCTGCCTGATGAAAAAACAAATGTAAGCATTTAACCACAAAATATGTTACCTATTAAGCAGTATATAAAATAATACATTACCTTTTTAATAGAGCACCCACTGATATAATGACCTAATCCCCCACAGTGAGAACAAGTTCTTTTTTTCTTCACCATTTCCAAAGAATATTTGATTCTATTTGCATTTTTGGGACGCCCTTTTGTATTAGTCGGAAGAAGAGGATCCCTGATAGATATTTGAGGCACGATGTCTACTTGAGAAATGTCTGCACAAGATTGTTGAGATGTATTTGGATGTCCTTTCGCCTTTTTCCGACTAAGCTGATTTTCTAAAAACTTTACCAAGAAATTATTAAGCTTTCTTATCTCAAAAGAGGAGTCTCTTGCAAGTTCAATTGCTTTATTATAGTTTGCACGAACACACCACTCCGTTAAGGCACTAACTCCATTTTCATTGTTGATTTCTTCCAATCCAATGTTGGTATTATCCACCTTGAATCTAGCATCAAGTGTCCACCTGGGTAAAATATAGTGATCAAGAAGGGTTTCAACATGTCTCTTCTTGATCACATATAAACTATGGTTGCACAATATCCCATATGTTTCAAACTTAGCACATGAGCACTTAACATTTACTGGATTCAAGAAATGAAAGGTAACAATTCTACAATGCATTTTATCAACATTCAACTGCCCGACTCTATACTTAATTTTTTTTTTTGTAATTTTTCTTAATGTTTCATGAGTTAAATTGCCCATAGCTTCTATCCATTCTTTTTTAAAATCCTCAAACATCTTTCTATTATAACATTCACACGCTTTTGCTTCTAGTATAACATGTAATTACAATAACAAAAATAAGGATGCTATAGACATTACCTGGAAGAAAACGGAGATGAAGGATTGTAATAAGAAAATTAGAATGGATTTGAAAGACGATAAACCCTTTTCCCAAATAAGGTGGGCTAATATTGAGAATAACAAAGAAGAAGATCACGATATCTACAGAAATTGGAGGGAAAGAAAAAATTATATTTGTGTAGATCACAATCATCGTATCAGTTCAGTAAATAGATAAAAACGAAACTTTTGGGAGTACTGATTTGGAGAGAAGTGATATGTTGATTTTAGAAGGAAAAACGGGATTTGATTGAATTACTTCAAAACGTCGATGTTTTTAGTGTTCTATACCCAATGTTAGATACCTAACAGCCACACATTCCTTTATATATATATATATATATATATATATATATATATATATATATATATATATATATATATATATATATATATATATATATATAAGACTAGGTTCATGTAAATTAGAATATTTGTATGTTTGGTACATAGCGATTGGGAGCTTCTAGCTTCTAGTATTTGACAAAAAGCTTCATTTTCAACAAAAAGTCTCGTTTGACACTATATGTTTTTAGCGTTTAGTTTAAACAAAATATTTCAAATCTAAAAGCTATTTCACGTAGCGTCTAACAAAACGCTACCGGTTACTGGTTAGTTTTTTCGAACACGTCATGTGTCGTTCAAAACGTGCATAATTGTCCTCTATATGAAGAACTAGTTTATAACCTGTGAGAATCACAGTTATAACACTAATTAATTTTTTTTTATTAAAAAGTTAAAATTATTAATCAAGTATTCTAAATAAGTTATTACTTAAGAGATATTTTTTAGTTATATTAAATTATAATCATTGATTTAAATAAATACGTGAAGATATATTACCTTATAATCTGTAATAATTTTATTTTATTTTTCAATGTAATGTTATTAATTTAATATAATTAGGATTAGAAAGTTTAAAATGAAAAATCAATTATTAATCTAATGTAATTAGTGAGGGAAATTTAAATTTAGAAATTTGAAATGGATATCAATTATTATTTTAATGTAATTAAAGTGGAAATTTAAAATTTAATATAGATAATTAATAGGTTGACAAGTAACATTATTAACTATATATCTTATAAAGCTAGTATATTTCCTTGAACCTCATGAATTTGAAACTTCTAAGGCTATTCAACTTATATATTTACTCAAACCATATTCATTTGAAACCTCCTATTTAAATGAATACCACTCAAAAGTCTCTTAATAATGATTAACTATTCAAAGGTTTTATAACTTATATAATATGTTTAATAAGCAATCAATGGATAGTCTACTACAAAAAAAGTCAATCTCTTTGAGTAGAAACACAATTACAAATCACATATAAAATTCATAAAGAAAACAAGTTTAAAAGTTTTTTTATTGGTTTAAGGGCTTTAGACCATTTTCGAGCCATGTTATTATGTTAAAGTTTTTAATTTGTAAGTTTGTTATATACTAATCCTTATGTGTGTGTGTGTGTGTATATATATATATATATATATATATATATATATATATATATCTTGGTTTAAGTATTCTTTTAAGACAATCATTGTATCTATATATCTTATAAAGCTAGCATTTTTCCTTGAACCTCATGCATTTGAAACTCGCAAGGCAATTCAACTTATATTTTGACTCAAACCATACTTATTTGGAACCTCCTATTTAAATGAATACCACTCAAAAATCTCTTAATAATGATTAACTTATATAATATGTTTAATAAGCAATTAATGGATAGTCACTATAAAAAAGTTAATCTCTGTGAGTAGAAACATAAATACAAATCACATATAAAATTCACAAAAAAAAAAACAAGTTTAAAGGTTTTTGTGTTGGTTTGAGGGCTTTGAACCTTTTTCGAGCCATGTTATTATGTTAAAGTTTTTAATATGTAAGTTTGTTATATACTAATCTTTATATATATATATATATATATATATATATATATATATATATATATATATATATATATATTAGTTTAAGTATTTTTTAAGACAATAATTGTATGTTGTGGTTAAAATTTAAATGTAAATTAGATTATATTCATATTATCGATCATATGTTATTGAATGTGATATAAATAATATTTAATTAGATATTGTATATATGTCTGTATATTTATATTGCTTCAAATATATAATTAATTAAAAATCATGGATATGTCATATTATGCATGTAAGTCTCTTTCAAAATGAAAATTATCTATCTTATCACTTTATATTTTAGTATATATTTAACATTTTATAATAGTAAGCGCTTTTTAAAAGTTTTCTTTCACTTAATAATAATAATAATAATAATAATAATAATAATAATAATAATAATAATAAATGGTAAATTAGAAAAATCGTGGATATTTAATATTATCAATGAAAGTCTCTTTTGAAATATAAATTGTCAATCTTATCACTTTATTATTTAGTATATTTTAGTATATGTTTCATATTTGAGTAATAATATTTAGTGTTTCTAAAAAGCTTTCTTTAAATTATTATTAATAATAAGTGGTTTAAATTAATGAACAATAATTTTAAATGATAATAATATCAAATTAAAAATTATGTAACGTTAGCTACAAATAAATTGTATTCTAAATGATCATTATTTTTGAAATTAGAAAATAATTGCATAAGTAAAAATTTTAAATTAATCAATCATAATATTATTTATAAATAATACTAAATAGATAATTATATTTAATTGTATTAATGAGGAATGTGAGTTGATGTCAATAAATAATATTATTCAAAATAATTGAGATTATATATATATATAATTTAGTGTAACATATAATGTCAAAGTTAATGTCAATAAATAATCATTTTAAACATATATTTTTCAATATTTTAATAATCAATTTTTAACCTGCGCTGCACAATACACGAGAATTCGTCTAGTTAATATATAACATTAATGACGAATTCTAACTGTATGACACTTGTCAATAACATATTAAACATATTCTTTTATTAGAATTAGAATTAGAATAGAGATTTGAAATTTTGAATTCAAATTTTTAGTGTTTTGTAAAAACAATATTTGCAAAATTAAATTATAAAATATTTTATATCTTAGATTACATTAAGGGGGTGTTTGGATAGGAAAAAAAGAGGTGCTTATTGCTTATTCCCACAATAAGCTAATTTAAGTGTTTGGATAAAATTCAGCTTATTAGGCTAAATAAGCTAATTTTAATAAGCATTCCTCCCCATGCTTATTGTTTATTCCCACCACAAATAAGTTATAAGCAATAAGCTAAATATCTAATCCAAACACCCCCTAAGTACGGAATAATTCTTAATACAATATTTTATATTCATCTATGTGTATTTTGGATATAAGATTTGATACAGTGGAATTGTTAACAAAGTTTCCAAGAGTCTAGATTGGTGTTTTCAATCCCTTTTTTCTCTTTAATTTTCTTTTAGCCGTCTTTATCTATTTTCAGTCACATCAATTTCCTTTTCAAGACAATCCACGAACACAATAAAAAACCTTGAAATATAATATATAAGGAAACTGGAGATTTTGTTAACTGTTATGAAACCCAAACTTAAGAAATATTCTTCATGTCATCTAGAAAAGTTATACGTCAAATTAACAATTAGAAAATCACTTTTGCAAATTATTGTAAGAGAGTATCAGTTTTCGTGAAATGAACAATTAGTTTGTGACAAAATACAAATGCTTATAACTATTTTATGATAATACATAAACCTAATTTCATGTATTCTTATTAATCTTATTTTAAACCTACAAAATTCAGTTAACAAAAATGAATATCAAACATTGTGTAACTTATAACAATTGATATTTAATTCTCTAATTGAATTAATTCAATGTTCTTAAAAAGGTTATCAATATTTTTTGGAAACTAAATTTTTTAGAATGTTTTAATGTTGCTAGTAACCAATTTTATGTTTTAAAAGGGTGACCACAACTCATGTTTTTTTTGTATGGTTACCTACTATCTAAGGTTGAATAAGTCACTATTTTTATAAAAAAATTCACTTTTAGCTGAAAATTTAATTTTTGTTATAAGTTTGGTTCAATTTAAATTTTATTACATATTCATGCCAAATTTATTTATTTTTACAAATTTATTTCTATAGCTTTGTATAAAGGTTTATAAGATTTTATTCACAACTTTAAAAAAATCTCTTACGTTATTTTTTCAACTTTCACATTGCCTTATATATATATCATTAAACTAATTATTCTCTACGATTGTGCGTTACTTTGATTGATGGAACAACAAATATGATTTAAAATCAGAGTAATTAATAAAACAATGATTACATCATATTTCAGCAAATCTAAATGTCGTATAATTATTGAGAAAAATTAGTTTGCTAATGTATACATGACAATACAAAAGATGAGAAAAAGTTAATAAAAATATTATAAAATATCTTTTTAAAGAAAGTTAAGAAAAAGTATATTATAAGACATTAATACATTATAAATAAGGGAGAATTTCATATATGTCCCTCTTAAACTTCAAAATATTATATTTATCCGGTTTAATTTCTTAATATCATATTTACCCTTCATAAACCTTCAAAATATTATATTTACCTTTCATAAACCTTCAAAATATCATATTTGCCCAAATCTTTTTTTATAATGTTTTTAATATTTTATAATCATTTTTTATACCTTAGAATTATTATAATAATTAAGAAATTTAACAATATTATCCTTACGTCTATGATAATTGAATGTGAACTTCTAAATTATTCGAATGTCGGCCTCTTGATAGACAAAAAGATTCATCT